TCCCCAGCTCCGGCTTCTCCGGAGGAGCCCTGCCAAACGTTTTTCTAAAGGAACCGTTTTTCCAGTAAAAAGCAGAGGATCCGGAGCCATTTTGAAACAGCCATAAATTGTGGCTTCTCTAAAACGGTTCTGGTTCCTCCGGAGGAGACTCTCAGGAGGAGCCATGCCAAACGCCTCATTAGAAAGACTCTTGTAGATGTTCAAAATAGACCTCTAATTTTAGCGGGTTGCTATGCGGGTTCGTGAGCTAGCCCGTTTGTAACCCTCTGTGTGTGATGCGGTGTGCTGCACATAACATGCTAACTGTCTGGCACATCTAGATCGGATGCATCAAGCAGCATACGTAAGCAACATTCCATTCATTTTTTTCAGCATCCTTCAATGTTGGCAACGGAGTGCACTGCCATCACTTTTTACCTGCGTAACGCAAAGTCCATATCGCCGGTGACATCTCCCGCCATAAATGCAAGGAGGACGCATAGACGTAGGATTTTGAGGAACAAAATTTGATAATGCTACTCACGTGATGTCCGGACGTATCGGAAGCAGACCTAAATCCCACCGTTCATCTTCCCTCTCTTATCCATTCTTCTTCGTTCACCAAAAGCTAATCATGCACAGCGCCGCACGCCCATCCTGCGCCATGCCCCCATCCTTGTTGTCCCACATGCTTGATGATTGGGCCGCACACCTCCTCCACCTCCCTGAGCTTCTTCTCATAGTCCTCCTCCGTTGTTCGTCCTGTGACGCCGTCCTGCACCTCCAGCTACTCTAGTGCATTCGCAAGAGCAGTCTCCATCTACTCCCTGTCCTCCTCGCCGATCTACCCTGCCATGTCGCCGTCGTCCCACACCGTGGCGCGGACACGGTACAGAGGCCTGCGGCAGAGGTGTACGATGGATCGTTGTTCTCGACATCTCCCCTGACACGATGAGCTTACTGGCTACCGCGGTTTCCCAACATGTAGGCCATGGCTGCCAGCGATGCTGTGTTTTAAGTATTTTTAGATGTTTCAAACGTATGTTTCAAGTGTTTCATCTGGGTGTTTCAAATGTTGCAATGACTATATACGCATGTTGCAAGCGTATGTTTCATGTTGCAATCGTATGTTTCAATTGTTTCAGTTGTTTGAGATGTACGTTTCATGTGTTTCATCTGGATGTTGCAGAAGTATATCTTGATGTTGCATAACATGCATGTTTCAAGCGTATGTTTTCAAGTGTTTCAGGTGTTCCATACGTATATTGCAAGTGTTTCATCTGGATGTTGCAAAAGTAGATCTAGATGTTGCATATGTTGCTACGGCTATACACGCATGTTTTAAGCGTATGTTTCAAGTGTTTCATTTGTTTTTAGACTATATGTTTCAAGTGTTTTTATCTAGATGTTTCAAAAGTAGATCTGGGGGAGCACATGTTGCAATGGAGCTGGTGGCTGGGGACAACGGCCTGCCGCAACCGCCTATTGTTGCTGTTGGGGCGCCGTCGTGGGTCATTGTGTGGGTGCCTAAGGCCGGCAGATGGCTCTGTAGTGCGCATACACAGGCGGGGCAGGTGACTAGGACCGGTCCCATTCGCATGCGGGTGCGTGAAACGGAGCAGGCTTCCCGCGGGTGTGCATGACGAATGAGGCACAGGAACTGTGTGGATGGATCGGGCTCGGGTGGTCCCCGCGTACACCTGAGCGTGGGCGAGCGAACCGCGCGGGCGCATGTGACGGAGGTGGTGCGGGAGCTACGTTCGGACGCGCCGTCCGTATGGACGTCGGAGCGCTAGCCCTTCCAAACAAAATTTGATTGATTGATTCTGGAAGGTGCAAGCGGTTTAATATGAACGCTGCTGTTCAACGAACGAAGCTCTTATCTTTTGTATCTCGCACCAGATGAAACAAAAGATTAGTTCTCTTTCCTTGTCACGGATCATAGAAACTAGAGCTGACCTGCTAAAAGGAATGCATAACTAGATGCATTTTTTTTCCTGATAGAGAGATAAATGGAGTTCTTCATTGACAAAAGAAAGGAGTTTCTGTATAGCCTCTGTTTCGAGACACGCTTTATAGGGTTGACCCTGGTAACAAAAAAAGAATCCATAAGAACTTGGATACAACACAATGAAGGTTCTTGAAGAAGTGTTGCCATGCACCACAAGGTCACTAGCTCTCATTTCAAAGGAAAAAAAGGTCGTGTCGTGGAGCAAGGACACAACACTAAACGAGTGGGCATCAGATGATAATAACAAATAGATTTTGCCAGATATTACTCAGATAATAGAAAACATGTTGCGATCGAAAACACACCAGGGCACAAACAGGACATGCTAAATTGTTAATGATCAATCACGACGGCAAGATACAACACCGAAGAAAAAGATACCCGTACACACATCATCAGGACAGCATGGCGTCATGATCGCAGACACTTCAATTGCTGATTTGCTGAACTGGAACAGGACTAGACCAGCATGAGCGAGAATTGATAAGTACTCGGGCACAGAACACTAATAAAAACACCCACCTTTGGAGATTACTGGACATGTATCATCTTTAGACATAAGACACGATGTTAAAATACCATGCTTTCCTAAGAACCTGAGAGCAAAGTATGATAGGCATGCTCAGCATAATTCCTCAGAAGCAAAAGTGTCCAGCATTATGCGCCCGAGCAATTCAACTCCCTAAGCGAAGAGATAGATTAAGACTGCAGGCTGTGAATTATAAATATGAACAAGTCCAATGTGTGTTTGATTCAAAGGTTCAACTACCTACCAGAAATATGGGTGGATATATAGTCAGTTGTATTACAAATTCAGTTGAATTCGATCAGTCCAGGTCTCATCCAAGGACTACCTTCCAAATTGTTTTAAGTTATCAGAGATTTAGGGTATGAGGAACTAAAACTCGGTGTGCTATACGCATTTGTGCATCCAGAACTCATGGTCTTTTATTGCTAATCTTACCATGAGACAGGTTTAATCATTGCCTGCAAGATTCAACCATTCTTTCATAGACCATATGTACAAAAATAATTTACCTGAAACAATGAAAGACATAATGCTACCAGCATGTTCAGTTTGGATTGCGTACTTGAGGCAGGTTGAAGCTGGACTCACATTTATGCTAGCCAGGAAGTGAAGCATTTGCAGATCTCCACTAGCCCATCAAACAACCAGAAAAGCATAAAACTACACAGGGATAGTGGTTACTCACAGAAAATGCTCAATTTTGCCACAAGGTTGATCATTAAGATGACTAGGGACCTTAAGTGTACACGTTGGTTCTTACTCGTCAATCACAGTGTAATGCATAGAAGCTGATCACAAATATGAGAAGCTGAGAATGCTAGCAAATAAACATCCTTAAACCTTCTATGCATATCAATGTTTATTTGCTATACATAGAAGGTTTAAGGATGCTTATAACCACTCAACTCTTATCTGCACAAAACAAACAATAAAGCATGAACTTCCGCCCCACACCTAAAGCAAGGACTTCTTCATAACTTAGTATACTTGCAAGCCGATCGACTTTTTTTGTTGAGGAAAAAAGCCGATCGACTTGATCTAATAATCTCATTATTAGAGTTGTCTACTAACCCACACAATGCATCGATTCATCAAGAAACAACTATGGAATTTCTATTACATATCCTCACTAGTCACCATGACTAGAAGCTCATAACTTGTGAGCTGAATAAACACAACTTTGGCGAGTAAATTGTCAGCAATTGTTCACCACCTGACCTCACTGACGCGGGCTCCTTCGAAGTATGTATACATCGGATTCCTCGTAGGCGTACTCAGGGTCGAGGTGCTCCCGTGCCACCTTCTCGATCACCGGGAAGGCAGCCGGAACAGAGTCCCAGAACGCCTGGTGCGCCTCGGGCGACCGGATCTGGTAGCCGAGCAGCACCACGCCGCGCTCGGCGTCGGCGAGCGCATCCATGGCCGCGATGAGGTGCGGCACGGACTCCTGGACGTAGATCACGTCTGCGGCGACGACTAGGTCGAAGCGGCGCGGGGTGGCTAGCGTGGCGAGATGCGCGGGGCAGTTCCAGTGGACCTGGGCGAGGCGCGGCGCGCGGGGGAGGTGGACGCGGTTGCGCCGCAGGTTGCGGCGGAGCGCCGGGAGCACGGCGGCGATGTCAGTGAGGACGAGGTCGGTGAGGCCGAGGCGGGAGAGGCCGAGCCCTGCCGGGCCGCAGCCGGCGCCGAGCTCCACGGCCCGCGTTCCGGGGAAGCGGAGCACGTCGGCGAAGGGGAGGGCCGGGTCGCGGAGGCAGCGCTCGACGAACTTGACGAGGACCAGGGACGAGGGCCACACAGAGGTGCCCACCTCGAAGGAGTCGTTGTCCTGCTCGAACGTCAGCACCGCGCCGCCCACCGGAAGCTCCACCACCGGAGACGCAGTGAACCGCATCTCCTCTCCGCCGCCGCCGCCGGCCCGTCAAAGCCACTGAAGCGAAGCGAAGGGTTTTGGACGGCTGCGATTCCGTGCGCGGCCGATCCTCTCCCCCCGGTGGAGGCGACAGTGGAGACAATCTTAGGCGCACCCTCGTCAAATTTAAATATTTAAATATAACCCCCTTAAACTTCATGGAGCAAAGTGCCTTAGGAACACAAATGTAATAATGCATTTAGATTGCAAATTTTTACAATCTGACAATGTAGCATGTTTTGTTTGTATTTAACAAACTTTGTTTGATCATAAACTAACTAGGCTTAAAAGATCCATCTCATGATTTACCACCAAATTATGTAATTAATTATTTTTTTACCTATATTTAATACTCAATGCATACGTCTAAACATTGATGTGATGGAGAGAAAATAAAAAAACTTAAAATTTGGATGTGATGGAAAGAGAATAAAAAACTTAGAATTTGGGCCTAAGTAAAACATTACAGGGCAGGAGTGGAAACAAACAGAAGCAACAGTGCACCGCCGAGACCTCCCCCTCCGTCTCTTCTCTCCCCACACGGTCGCCCCTCTTCCGGTCCTTCCCTGATGGATCCCAAGGCGGCGGCGAAGTCGAAGCGCTCACACACGGTGCACGGCCGCCGCGTCCACCAGACCCCCGCCGCGGCGGCCGCGCACAGGCAGAAGCGGGCCGCCGCAGCCGCAGCCGCAGCCACCTCGTCCGGCCCCCGCAGCCGCAACCTCCCCTCGAATTGGGACCGCTACGACGCCGAGGGCGAGGCGGAGGACCCTGCGGCCGCCGAGGAATGGACAGGCGAGGTGGCTCCGCGCAGCAAGGGCGCCGACTTCGGATTCTTGCTAGAGCAGGCCCGAGCGCAGCCCCCCGGGGGCCGGGACCTCAGCGCGCCGTGTCTCCCCTCCCAGGACTTGCCATTTGGTGAGTGAGTGCCGCTGTCTTTCGTTTCGGCTGCTACTTTCCTCCTGCTCTGCCACTATCAGTACATTGAGTAAGCTCATTGACATTTTCGCTTAAGCAGAAGTTGCGGTGCTATCATCGATACTGGTACCTAGGGAAATTCTAGCCATACTGATTCTGAACAAAGTTTAGTACTCCAAACACCCTAGGGTGTTCTATTTAGTTATTTGGTGCTGTCCTCATATGAACATTTGAGTTCAGCTCAAATCTCCTTGACTGAATTGATATATTGTTGATAATTCCTAGCGAGCTGAGTTAGCTCATTGAAACTCAATGCTCGACGTGTGTGGAATCTTCATGCTAGATGTGTGTGGATGTGTTAATTGAGGATTGCCCTTTATTTCTGTTGCCGCTTTTAAGACCGTTGATTTTGTGGTTTTCTAGATTTTATGCAGGCTTCTACCTCTATGCTCGAAGCTAAAGGTGAAGGAATCTTGTCCTGGTGTGCTGATGATAACTTTATATTAGAGGACGACCTAGCACCAGATTTTGAGGTACAATATATCAACTTTGGAAATTGTTTTGTGTTGTGCAACAGAGACCTACTATAAGGTTCAGTATTATCTTGAATGTTATCATATATAATGTACTAGTAGCTGATAGACTGTTGGAAAAATGAATTGATCATGGCGGTGACCACACTTTGTGCTTCTTGCTGTACATTTTGTGGGATTTGTTTGGGTTAACTTGATAATGGTAGCCTATTTGAATATCAGTGGGGGTAGGATATGTGAAGCAATTAAGACTTCTATTTGATTGGTGTGTGCTTATTACTCTGCATGTAGAAATTCTTCACTTTTATATCTTCTTGTGGTTGTTGGGTTACAACGCATATTCACGTGACAACAGTTCTCCCCAACTTTCAGGTGCCTTTTCTGTCCATGGATTTGAATGCATTGGCCAATCACCTTTCAAAGATTAAGCTTTCTCGGAGACTTTTTATAGAAGAAGATCTATTTCCTGAGGATATGGTATGTTCTTCATTATATCTGTTCTGTTTCATTTGCCAGGTTTCTAAACATTGAAATTAACACTATTATTGTCTTTAATTATTTCTAGTAAAACCATAACCACACGTTCACATTTCCTTATTTTGAAAATGTTATGAGTGTCTGAATGAGGGATCTCACCGCTTCTATTGCTAATTTGCATCGGCTTTCTGTCTCAATCATCCTTAAACCCATCACTACCTTCTTCACTATTCAGTAGTGACAGGGTGCTTTGATGCTCTGCCTCTTATGCAGCTACAGATGCATTTCTTGCCATTTTAGCCACAGCCTAATTCTTTCAGCAACACTAGCCAACAGGGCAGTTCCCTGCACACTCAGCAGCAAAGCTTATTCTAACTTCCGAAAACTTCTGATCTGCATATTTTTGCTGTTGTGTCATAACAGTATGGCAGTATCTGGCTCATTTCGTTTTTTTAATTAAGCTTCTGTGTTATCTTGTTTTGTGCATGGTAAGTACCATGGTTTTAAAGGCAGCACCTAGGCATCCAGGTGCTAAAAAATCCAGCAGCTGCTGTTGTTGCCATTTCCTCTAACTTCAGCGCCCTTGGCCTGCGCAGAATTTGTTCTGTTCAGCTGAGGTGCAGCACGGTTGATCTGAGAGGGCGCAGTTCAATGTCGTGCAGAGAAGCAGTAGGAAGGAGGACTGGAGTTTTTTTTTTCTCGAACAGAGCAAGAGAGCTGTGTTGTCATTTCATTAAGGGCGTACCCAGTGCAGAGAGCTCCCACTCTGTGCGGGGTCTGGGGAAGGGTGTCAGTGGCAAGCCTTACCCTCGCCTGTGCAATGCGAGGAGACTGCGACTCGAACCCGGGACCTTCCGGTCACAGGCGGTAAGACTCTACCGCTTGCACCAGGCCCGCCCTTCTGTGTTGTCATTTCATTAAGTTAGGATAAAAAAAGGATTACAATGGGCTGGGGGAAAGAAACCCAGCCCAGGTACAAACGCACTCGTAAAAAAAACCCCAAAAAGCCACAAAATGACCAAACACCAAAGACCCCAGCGCCTAAGTTGCCAGAGTCAGCGACTAAGAGAGAAAAAACTCCAAGCGTAGATACAACTGCCATACACTAGAGGCTGCACTCATCCTTAATGGTATGTAGCAACCCATGGACATTTGGCAGAGAACCTTCAAACACACAAGAATTCTGATGCTTCTTAACCTCAGTGGTGCAACTGCACAAGGAGAGAGGTAGAAGGGGAAGTGAGCGGTGGCGCGGACTGAATCGGGATGAGAGTAGTTTGGGGAAACCTATATGCAAGTCAGGGGTGGTTATCAGGCTGGCTGGTGGGCTGGGCCAGCCCCTTACGTCTCCTCCTCCCTTCTCCATTTTCTTCTTTTTTTCTTTTTCTTCATCCTCTATGCTGCTGCCTTGCTGTTTCTCATAGTGTTACGGTGTTACCTAGGCGATTAGAAGTTGCCTTAAGAACCATTGTATATACAATTTCTAGGCAGGTAAAACTCATGCTTCTGCTGGCTATTGGTTTCTAATTAGCTGCTTCGCTCTCCCTTGGTTGCCCTTTTATTAAGTTTCTCGTTGCAGTTTACAGGCTTAATTTTATGTTTACTGGCAGTAACATGATATTAATTTTATGTGGTTAACATGCTTAGCATACTCAAAGCTTCTTTCATATCCATTCAGCTTGACTTCGTATCCCTTGATCTGTCTTATTATTTCTAGGCTGATGCATCGGAAGACAATGAAATAGCTATTGAACTTGACACCTCTGTGGAAATTGATGCTAAAGGCAGTTCAGTTGGACATAACTTGAACTCTGAACCCAGGAAAGGTACAAGTCATCATGAGTATGCCAGCAACATCTGTTCTGATGATCAAATGAAAACAGAACGCCGGTCGCAATGTTATGCACAAGAAACTACAGCGTCTCCAAAGATTAGTACTCATTCAGTGAATTCTGATAGTGAAGAAGATAAGACCTACAAACAAATCATGGATACTGATCCTGGTATGAGCCATAGCAAAGGGTTGAAGTTTGAGGTGGGTGCTGCAGAAGAACTTGACATGCTCCTCAATTCATTTAGCGGAACTCACCTTTCCAGCGCCAATTTGGACGAACCATTTGAACACGCTTCAACTTTGCACGAGATCAGTTTGTCAAATGAGAAGGTTGAACCTAGCTTGTCTTCCAAACCACCTTTGCTTGCACCTCTCGACGATGCTCTAGATGACTTGCTTTCAGAGACTTCCCTTGATGTACAGAGTGAAGGTTTTGGTACGCTAAGTACGACTTCTCAGCCAACTGCTAATTCTGGTCAGAACATTGGCTTCAGATATGCTAAGAAAATTGATGTGACGCCATCTATTGATGATTCGGTGGATGATTTGCTTGAAGACACTTCATCATGCTTAAATGAGCCAAAGCAAATTACAACTGCACAAGCATCGAACAGCACCCCACTTGATAGTGTACCCCTTCATTCTGATCCCTTAAATGCATCTGCATCGGATGATTTTGATTCATGGTTTGATTCTCTATAGGACAGAAAAAAGTTGGTGAGGTGAGGAAGTGATGGCTGGCTTCAGGGAATCTTGGGCCTTTATGTACTCCATTACTGAATTAAACTTTGTAACATTACGAGAACAATCTCTTTTTTTAAGAGATGACAAGAGCTCTGTCGTTTTAGTTCTTCCCCAATTCCTTCTCGATCTACCCCTCAGCTCAAATCAAATAGTTCCCCAACTACCGCCGCTGCTTGTGCTCGGCTGCTCCTCCTCAAAACCACCCCTGCCGTCTCCACTCTCTTTGCTGCCCTGCCGCCTTCCCCCAGCATTAGCGACATCATGGAAGCGGAGCTTGACGCCGTTGCTGCCCCAGATGCTGATGAAGGTTCGGGCCTCAACTCCCCTTTTTCGGCTGCTGCGACGATGAAGAATATGCGGTCCAAGCACAAATGTGAGGATACCCTCCTCAGCATATGCCGGAGCTACGGCATATCGACCGAGCTCTACAAGCCGCTGTGCTCCAAGGACGGGTGGGGGCCGTGCAAGACGCCGCCGGAGGCCTCGAATGCGCTGTGCGTGTTCGAGGCAATGTTGAAAGTCGGCGTGAGGTTTCTTCTACACGAGCTGTACAACAAGGTCTTGACGTATTTCAATCTGGCGCCAAGTCAGCTCGTCCCTAACGCGTGGCGACAACTGGCTGGCTTCGTGCTGGTGTGCGAGGATGTCGGCATCACGCCAATGGAGGCGGTGTTCCGATACTACTTCAAGCTCTTCCCGGTCGGGAACGGGTGGTACAACTTCAAAGTTAACTGGAGCTGTCTGTTCAAGGCTGACGGCGGGATTCATGTCAACACGAGATGGAAGGAGAGGTGGTTCTTTCTCGACTCCCTCATGGCTGACAATCCTTGGCGATGTCCTCAAGAGTGGGGGACACCCAGGAAGGGAGCCAACGAGACTCTGCAGCTCACGCAAACCGCCTGGAACGCCATCGACAAGCTGAATGCCGTGAAAGAGAAGGGCATAAGTCTGATGAAGCTCATCATCGACAAGTCTCAGTACAACCACAACTTCCCCGTTCTCCCTCCGTTGCATGAACAAGTCAAATCTGAAACTGAAGCTAGCGATGACGATGATGTGACTCCGAGCACCCACCCGCCTAAGAGGCCACGTTTGCCTACCACTGCCACTGCCATCACCATCACCGCTCTAAGTCAGCGGGTCATAGGTACGACGTCATCGGCACCGCCGGGTTTCACTCCTGTGACGTCACCTAGGAGCACCGTTGCTGGCAACGACGACTTTCGGCAGGCTTACAGGATGCATGCAGGCGGATTCAGGGAGCTACGCCTAGCCAAGGAAAATCTTGCGTCGGAGCAAGCTGCGCGTGCCAAGGCGCTGGAGGACTTGGAAGCTGAACAGAGCAAGACGCGCCAACTCACAGGTCAGCTACAGGTGGTGCAAGCTGAGCGCGACAAGGCGCTTATGCAGCTCAAGGAGATGGGAGCCGAGTTGACGGTGCGCTGTGCGGCACAGGCCGAGCACACGGCCAGGGTCCGCCAACTCGAAGCCGAGCACGCGACCAAGGTTAGCCACTTGACGCAGCTGCTTCGGACGGAGGAAGGCATGCATATGGCCAAGGTCCAGCGACTGGAATCGGATCTTGAGGCGGCGCAAGCTGAGGTCGCCAAGGCGCTTGGGCAACTCAAGGAGACGAGAGCTGAGTTGACAAAGGCACAGGCTGAGGATACAGACAGGGTCTGCCAACTTAGAAATGCCTTTGAGTTGGCGCAAGCTGAGGGCGCCAAGGCGCATGGGCAACTCAAGGAAACGAGAGCTGAGTTGACAAAGACACATGCTGAGCATACATACAGGGTCTGCGAACTTAGAAATGCCTTTGAGGCGGCCGAAGCTAAGCACGTGACCAAGGTCAACCGTCTCGTGGAGGAGTGCAAGGAAGTAGAAGCCAACCTCCAGCAGTTGGCAGAGGAGCTCGAGGCAGAGAAAGCAAAGCACGCTGCCGAGGTGAACGCCGTTAGAGCACAGTGCTACTCCCAGATCAAGGCTGCCGCGATCAAGTACATCAATGAGCTGATGCCCGAGCCACTTCCTGTTATGGGTAAGCTGATTAACTAGCTCTTGTTCTTCATTGTGAATGCGAAAATTCAATTCTTCTTTTTATCTCGTTTTCGGATCTTTAGGAATTAGGAGTGACAATATACAACCTTCAAGTGATGGTCTTCATTTTAAGGTTTTGCTAAGTAAATGTGAAGCATTGATCTGAATATTTATTAATACATATTACCTCGTAAATGTCAACCATTGATCTCAATATTTATTAATACATATTACCTCGTAAATGTCAACCATTGATCTGAATATTTATGTATTTCTTATATTAGAAAGTATACAAAATAGTAGGCAACATTTCTTGTAATTGGATCCATTAGCTTCAATACTAATTAGAATTAGATGTAAGGTCTCAAACTTGATTGGGTGAATGTGTGTCAGATTGAACATGTCCTTCAACATCTTTTAATCAGACCCTTCTTCAGTGCCTGTTGTTTTTCCATATGATCCCATGCTTGATGAAGCCTCATTGTGGCATTGTCCTTCAGGGGTGGCTGGGAGCAAGGTGGCTGACGTCAACTTCCTAGAGGAATCAGCAGGGGTGGCTGGGAGCAAGGTTCCTGACTGCATGCTCCTAGAGGAACCAGCAGCAATCAAGCAAGTCGTGTTGATGGGTGGTGAGAAGACTCACGCCTGTGAGACTCATCCTGTCCACAGCCTCCTTTTGAGTACTTTTCCTGATTCAGTTACTTCTTTCGACCCGGAGCTCTCAAACTGTCATACTACAGTAACTCAAGAACATTGCCAGTCTGTTACGCAGTCCCCTAATTTGTTGGGCTTAGTTGTCACGTCTCCCTGTTCCAGTGAGTTAGCAAACAACATTGATCCAGTGGACAACACAACTAGTCATACACAGCCACAACCTGACAAGACTTTGACCAGAAACCGTTTTGGTGACAATAGAGTTCTGTTGGAACCAATGGATGTCTTCCTAGAATCAATTTCTTGCGCCTTACTACAACCCATTTTGCCTCTCGAACACTTGTCCGAGGACAAACATGAAACACTGCCAACAACTAGTACAGCCAACCATACAAATGGTACCCTGAGTCCTAAAATTGGAAGTTGCTCAGTTCAAAGGAAAAGCACTAGGTTGGCTGGAAAAGAAAAGGATAGAAAGCGTAAAAGACGCCATGGTCGTGGCTCAAGAACTGTTAGTTAAGAAACTAGGAGGGTTAACATCAGATAGTTCTGCACGCAAGTCTGCTGATTTTGAATTTTTTGCACAGCACTTTGAAAGGCCTATCAACAAGAACAAGATGGATGCAGTCAAGGTCATTGAGGCCAGCACCAAGCCAGCAGGCAAGACCAAGAACACTGTCACCAAGACGGCAGCAGCATCAGAGGAAGTGGAGGAGCTGATGGCAGCATGAAGGCCTTCGGCCAGTTATCAGTGGTGGCTATTTTTCAATGATAGTAGGGGAAGGTCAGTTCGATTAGAGTTGGTCAGAGTCAGGCCTTCGTTTTCTGTGTGTACTGGGCCTGCGTACCTGTTAGTGATGAGTAGGACGTCTTTGAACTACGGTTCTGCTCGATCTATTCGGCCTGGTGTCTCTGTTGCCTTCGGTCGCTTTGAGTCGCGTATGTGGAACTTGTTGTGGATGAGACCTTTCAGGCCTGCTGGCTTTGTTGCCTTCGGCCCTTGAATCAAACCACATGCAGGTTATCAATCTTGTGGAGGTGCCTGTACTCATCATTGATCGTTACGATGATTCCTTCTTAGAACTTGCAAAAGATGTACTGATTAGTGATTACAGTATGTTCAGCCTTTTATTGTGGATGCGTAGAAGCTGTTTCTTTACTTCTTCAATCCTTGACAATAACAACAAAAACAAAACAGTCCCAAGCAAAATGGGGTAGGATAGAGTTGAAACCTACCGAGAGCCCCAAGTCACGGTTCAGGCACTTTAATAACTGCTTTGCAAGTACTCCTATTCAAACATAGATCTCTAGGTATATCCCAAGCTTTCAAATCTCTTTTTATTGCCTCTCCCCATGTCAATTTCGGTTTTTCTCTACCTTTCCTCGTATTATTAGCTTGGTTTAGGACTCCACAATGCACTGGTGCCTCTGGAGATCTCTTTTGGACATGGCCAAACCACCTCAACCGATGTTGGACAAGCTTTTCTTCAATTGGTGCTACCTCTAGGCGATCACGTATATCATCGTTCCGAACTCGACCGCAAATCCATCGCAACATATGCATTTCTGCAACACTCAGTTGTTGAACATGTCGAATCTTTGTAGGCCAACATTCCGCTCCATACAACATAGCCGGTCTAATCGTCGTTCTATAGAACTTGCCTTTTAGCTTTTGTGGTACCCTCTTGTCACAGAGAATGCCAGAAGCTTGTCGCCACTTGATCCACCCTGCTTTGATTTTATGGCTAACGTCCGCATCAATATCTCCATCCCTCTGTAGTATCGATCCCAGATACCGAAAGGTATCCTTCTTAGGCGCTGCTTGACCTTTCAAACTCACATCTCCCTCCTCCTGTACAACTCCGCCTTCCAATCCTTGACGATAAATTGACAAAAAGTATAAGCCTTAACCTTGCTTAGAAATATAATACCTTGAAATTTTCTGCATTTTATTATTAATCAGAATTGCAACTGCATGTTATGCAAAAAGACCAAAAATATTTTGCTGTAACATCCAAGTATTTTGCTAACATGTAACATTGTTCATGATTTTAAGAATAGAGGCTACAGCAGGAACCATGTAATCTACAGCTGCTGGTCTGATCCGTGAAGAGGCAGACGCCACCATGGAAATGAGTTCTGACTTCTGAGGGGTTCGTACTATAGTATACTAGTAGTCTAGTAGATGTTCAGAGACGCTTAGGTTGATGGCATAATCATGCTTGTACAATAACAATTGCTGGTTTCAGCATGTGCTGTTGTGACAAAGTGAATCAGAGCCCTGATGCCTAAACTGAATATTCAGACTCACATTAATAGATAAATTTATAGAAGTTTTACCGTATATTCTGAAACATTTACTTCTTATTTTGTCCTAGGAAGATTTATCTTTGGTGCCGTTACCTCCTGATCTCCCAAGAAAATTAGATCTGCATAACAGTTTTGACTTCTGAAGATGACATGCTCTGTTTGGAATGTATTTGGCCAGTCATGAAACTGAGATACCTCTATTTGAAGGTCTCGTAGCAGGTTGGAGTTCTACTTCAAGGAAGCAGGATGGACCATCAAGCTTAACAGACTGGAGATATTTTGTTAACATACTGGAGATATTTTGCTTGGAATGCTTTTTGGACAGTCATAGAACTGAATGGTCTAGACGTCTAGTAACAAGTTGATGTAGTTCGGCAAACATGGATGCAACGATTTCATACTACATGTGCATGGGCGACATCGTGACACCACGGGGCCTAGGCGACTAGCCCAACTGAGTGGCTCAATTTGGATGCTGAACATGAACCCATCTTATGCACTCATTCATGGCCTTCGATTTTTGAAAAATGCACAACGTCTTGCACATTGCAATAATTAAATATGTAAGGACTGGAGAATATTCAGCATGTTCGGGAGGCCGTATCGTATCGTGGATTATTTACTACTGGCTGGTTTGGTGTGAGAGAAAAACACTGTTCCCGGCTGGAAATTTACGATCGTTTACGAGCAAACGAACAGGCTGATTAGCACTATTACATCCTAACTGGTATATATCCCATATCAGCACCAGATCTACATTTAGCCACATTTAACTAGTTGACTGATTTAGCCACATTTACCTTTTTGTCCATTTGCCTCACTGCTCCTAGACTGTATGTTGAAGTGTAGCCCCTAGACTGTATGATGGAATGTAAAGGTAGCACAATGCACCGCCCCATTCGGCTTACCCACAAGCCGGCTTGTTCGGCTTCTTTTTTCAGCCGGAACAGTATTTTTCTCTCACAATAATTTAGCCAGAACAGTATTTTCAGCCAGTTTCAGTCAAAATTCAGCAAGCCGAACGGGGCCAAAATTCAGCAAGCCGTTCTCTCACAACAATATTCAGTTTGTTTGAATTATAATTCGCTAACATTGCTGCTCCCTTCCTATTGCTGGAGAGAAAAAAAACTAAAAATTGAGAAACGAAGCATCAAACTGCTGTGTGTCAGCTGTTAGTTTTCGCCCATTCGTTCAATTTCCAGCAGACAACCTTGCATTTATGGTAACATTTGAACTAATTCTGGGCTGTTTGTTTGGTACAGGGTGGTGGCCAACAGGCCAAGTTCGAAACCTATGTTTGAGATTTTGGATTCGAATAGGAGAAAATGCGACAATAGAATGGCACAGACCCAGTGCGCTCGTTGCTGAGTTGAGGCGTGCACAGGGGACGAGACAACTAGCACGTTCGGTTGGCTGATTCGTTTCGTTGCTGGTTCGTGAAAAAGTACTGCTGGCTGGTTTGTGTGAGAGAAAAATATTGTTCCGACTGGAAATTTACGATCGTTTACAACAAGCCACAGCCAAACGAACAGGCTGAACGGCGGCCAGCAGCACGTCACCCTGAGCCTGCGCGCCCCACTTCATTGGCTCTATTCGCTTCTCTTATAATCCGTCTTTTTCAGCTTATTTTTTTAGCCGGAACATTGTTTTTCTCTCATAACAAATCAGCTGGAACAATGTTTTGGTTTGTTTTTTCAGCGAAGCGAACGGGGCCACCGTCTGTGCCGCGTCTGGCCGCAGGCAGGGGCAGGCGGCGCGCTGCATGAGTGCATGACGCTCCGGCGAGCCCAAGGTCAGCCTCGGCAAGGCAACGACGCGTCCCGCTCAAAGCGGATGCAACACCGGCAGGCGGCAGCTGCACCCCTCTCTGCCACCCTGGAGCAGCTGGGGCTGTGCCACGTCGGCACGGAGGTTTTGTGCAGTGCAGGGGAGTGAGTGCCAGGACCGGGCCAAGACGGAGGATGCCAAGTCTTCAAGCGGGCCGAGCAATCCGCGAGCTAGCAGGCCCAAAACCAAGAACTCCCGTGTGTCTGAACTGGGCCCGGCTGGGTTAACAGCTTGGGCGCGTAGCGGCGTGTAGCGTGCGTGCGCGCGGCGTTCGCTTGCTCCGCTCGTAGCCGCCGCGTGTGCCACGTCGCGGCCTCGCGGGTCAAAGACGGCTGGCACGAAGCGGCAGTGGTGAAGGCGGTGGCGTTCTTTTGCAGCGACAATCCTGATTGCTAACAGTTCCTAACTGTTTATTAGGAGTAACTTTTCTTGCTTCTTACCTGTGTTTTCCGATTCAGATGTTGAGCCAACTGACAATGTTATTTTCGATAAAAAAAAATGCGAGAATCCCACACGGTCCCACCAAACGCCTTTTGAACTAACAAGATCGAAAAAAAAATCATGCAGTATAGTACGATGTTTATAATCAAGTGTGCGGTAAGTAGAAACAAAACAAGACGACTCGAATCACCAAACTTTAACGCATGTTCCGTGCGCACTAGCTCTGCCTTCGTAGGTACTCGCATGTCCCGTTCGCTTGGCTGATAAGTTATGATTAAAAGTACTGTTGACTGATTTATTATCAGAGAAAAATACTATTTGTACGGGCCAAGCGAACAGGGCGGTAGCCTAGCCACTGGTTTTGTCGAAGACCACTTCAGACGCGTCACTCATGCTAAATCTTTGTGGACCACAAGCATCTGGAAAAAGGAGGGAAAGAAAAACTAAATCTTTGTGGAAAAGGTACGTACGACACCTGAACCGTGATCTATTGTCCTTCGCCCGGCCGGTTGTCACCGCGAAACTGATCATCATGAAAAGAAAAAGAGTTCGATGTTCATTTGTTTTGGAAATGGAAAGGGTAAAAAATGCAATTATTGGTACTACTGCAAAGATTCGATTAGACTGCAGGCTTAATGGCTTTTATCGTTTCCGGTGTGCGGCTGGGGTGTTTGATTTCGTAGCTCAAGCTCATTGTTTTCCACTGGTACGCAGGGTTCGGACACGTGAGCGCATATATTGATGCTGCGCTGTCCACGTCGAAAAAAAATCCTGGTATTAGTATTGTCGTAATAATACTACGTAACGTAGTACTATTATTTATTATCAAGAGGCTGGGAACGTTGTGGCTCTTGCATCATCCCAGGGGTTACGTGGGCCAAAAACTAGTTACTTTCATGGGCCAGCCACGTGACAACAGCATTGAAGCGGGAAAAATACTTCATCACTCGGAACCTTACACGTTGAACACAACTTATTTGCATTGTCGCCTGCTACGAGAAATCTGTGACCCACCCCAAAATCACGGACACGAATATCGGCCGTCCATTTTCATAGCGAGTGGTTCAGATTTGATGCTAGAGTTATACACGATATAAACAGTGACTAGTGCACAATGATGAACCGTGTGCCTCTCCTCTCCTTCCCACGAGTG